GCTTTGCATTATTTGCATTCTTACTCCTTGAATGGCATTTATAGGTGGTACTTGGTGGTGGTCAAGATGCATCAGCTGTTACCACCACAGATCATCGTGCTGGAAAATTTGAGGCGAAATTCTATGACAAGGTAAGATTGTTCTCCATGTTGATGAAAATAAACTCAAGATACTAAAGCCAATATAAGGGCTTATAATGATCCTTTGAGCTCTTTCTTGTGTAGATCCTCACGGAAGAGATAGGAGGTGTGAAAGGACATTTTGGACCAATAAATGCCTTAGCATTCAATCCAGATGGAAGAAGGTAAATCTTTTCGTTTGGGCATTTGCATCAAATTATCTACACTACCACTACTAGAATTTTTGTACTGTTGAGAGGTACTTATATTTGCTGGTTTCTGCTGGATATTTTTCTTGGTGGAGGAATTTGTGTAATTTGCTTGGTCACCATGTAAGATGAGCCGTGAGTGTGACAACATAGCCATAAATTGGGACCGATAAGTGCTGAACATGTGAAGTTCATCCGATGATAATTATGCGTCTCCACAGCTTATGACCCTCTTTAGATCATTTTCATTATTAAACTCGTTCTAATATGATCTAATCTATTGGTCATTTAATCTTCAGTTTTGCAAGCGGAGGCGAGGATGGTTATGTGAGGTTGCATCATTTTGATCCAGATTACTTCAATATCAAGATATAGAGGCATCCTGATTGTGCAAGTCCCGACCTGGAACCTGCTTTACGTAATGAAATTTTGAAGCTTGGGTTTCTGATTTTCTAATTGGGGCTCAAACTGCACAAGGTTCTCTCGCAAATTTTATGTATTCTCAAGCAGGGATATTTTATTTTTCTTTTCTTTTCTTTTCGAGTTTTTGTTGAAACCATTTGAGGAGAAGGATTATTTTTCATGTTGTACTATGTCAGATTGTTTGAGTAATAGTTATTTTTGTTATTATAATCTCTATTCCTTATCAGCATTCAGAAAGAGGTATCTATGTTTAAGCTTCTGAAATGAAATTGTTGGTGAGAAATGCATCATTTTTACTCTTAATTCTGGTGACCTGCGTACAGATAACAAATGAGCGATGGATCATTATGTTAAAAAATGATTTGAATAATGAAAAATGTCTCCAAAGTCGCGAAAGTTTTGTGTTATTCTTTTCTCAATTCTCAATCACGCTAGTTCACTTGGTTAAACAATGAGGAACAAACACACTATACAACTGAAAATCACACAGTATAGTTAGTGGTGGGACTGATTCGATTATCACACCTAGCCATAGTCATGAATATCTTTCTGATCCAATGGTGAAAAAACGAATAAGATAATAACGATTAGCATCCCTTAGTAGTTAGTAGTTAGTACAATCACTGTGCTGTTGCAATAAGGGATTAGCAAATTATTATAAATCATTCTATTGTAACTCTCACCACCGAACAACATGAAAATAAACATAATACCAAATCATTCGATTGTACACGTGTGATTATAGAGTCGATTTGTTCAAATCGATTTGAACAATGTAAACATTAGTGCTAGACAATGTAAACATTAGATTGTATCATGACTTATGATGGAATGACCAAGATGAACAGTTAATGAGTCACAACTAAAATTGTTAAAATGAAACGAGTCAATTGTAAGCTCGATTTGTTTGATAAATTAGCAGAGCTCGAGTTCATTTAACGTTCGTTTGGCTGATGAGTCGAACTCGACTTGACTGATTGTAACTCGGTTCGTTGAAGCTTAAATTGAATTCATTAATATTGGTAAATGAGAACTTGAGTTCGATTACTTGCTTAGTATCCAAGCTTTACTTGACTTATTAAAAACTCAAGCTTGAGTAGGATGAACTCGAGCTTGAATCGGATTGTTGACAACGGTGCGAAGTCAAATAAAAATTAATTTTGTGCAAGGATTTGAATTATGGCGTCGATATATGTTTAGTTGATTAATGGAACTAGTGCGGTACCCTTGCGATGCACGAGCTATTTTTATTAAGGTAAGCATTAGATTTTGATAACTGCAAAAACGTAAAACACATGTATTGGAATAAAACAAAATGTAACTTATATATTATGAAACACATCCTTGTACACAACATTATTTGTTTGTTCTTTTAGTGCATCGTCTATCGCCACAAATTGTATTATGATTCTAGATAGACTTGAATAAATAAATTATATTATTTAGCAGGATATATGTTATATAATTTATACTGTTTT